GTGAGTAGTGTTGTTTATTGGTTGCCGCTTGCGCTTCAAATGGTTTTCTCCGGGTTCTCAGATTTTTCTTTCATAAGAAAAAAAATCCAAATTCTAATTCGCTTTCACCAGTTGCCTTGTAATAAAGAAACTTAAAAAAGGGAAGAAGAGAGTGGGAAAAAAGAAAAGAATGAAAGAAAGAACGAAAAGAAAAAAAAAAGAAAGAAAGTATGTTGTATGCTGCATATAGATTTACTGCATCTTTCAAGTTAAAGTTGTACTTGTGCAACAGCCTCCTCAAACAAGAAACTAATATCAAATATCTAGGGGTCTTCTTTGATGAAAATATAAACTGGAAACATCACGCTTCTTATATTGGTAGCAAAATAAAGCGTGGTATAGGAATGATTTCTAAATTGCGTCTCTTCTCCCTACCAAAATACTTGTTAGTCTTTATTACTCTCTCGTATATCCCTATCTTATTTATGGAGTTTAAAAAATTAAAGGTTTCAAAAATGATAAATTAGTTTAAAGTGGCCGTTTCGTTATGACGTAGTGATGTCATCATTGAAATCGTTTACCGCTTATTTTCTCGAAAACTAGGCATAAACTTTCAAAGCGACTTGCACCATTCGATAGTATTCATCAAGGCACCCAACATATTGCAATATGAAAAAAATATATGGGGGCGTTTTCCAAATATTACGCCATGAATATTTTCATAGACGTTAACTATTATTTCCAGCGTGTCAACTTTATACCCTGAAAATCGGGACTTTAATTTAGTGGATTCAATATTTTTAGTAGCTAGAATATAGGTACGGACATAGACACTGTCCTTATTGAGTATGAATCAAATTGTGACTTTCTTTCTAACGTTATGAATTTTTTGATATGAAGCTAAATGACCCCATTTGTTGTGAAAAACGATAGAAAATGTCGATGAAAAGTGCATTCAAAAAATCGTCGAACGGTTTTTTTCTAAATGAAGTCACTAAAAGATGTATCTTTTACAAATATTCTCCTTTAATTTCATATGCATTGAAGGGTTTTAAGGCAGTCAAATAAAAATAAGTATGCTCACATCGATCAACTATTCTCCCTCACGGCTGCTTGTTGATTATTCATGCTTGACTTACGTGTTATTCCTAGTCGTGTGCTGTTAGTTGTGAGCGTACTTATTTAGTAAAGTTTCACCTAATAACATGAACGTTTTCATATAAGAAAACAATTATCAAATAATAAATAATAAATAGGAATTGATTAGAAATAATTTTTAATATTCTATTTCCAAAGCTCCCTTGATTGATGAAAATAACAATTTTACCATGTACTAACCAGTTAAACTAGTCGTACATTATAAACAATTTAATAATTACTCCTGTTTTGCTCAAAAAATAATTCATTCCTGTTTGTTATTTTGTGATTTGTGATACTTTTCTACAATTAGGTGCACCCAGCAATTCAAAGCTTAAAAAATATCGGCCATGGAAAACTTTGTCGAAGAATGTTTTAAGAAGAAAATTAGCCCCTGGGGATAATGGTGGTGGGTTGTGTACATGTGAGAAAATTCCAAGAACAAAACATTGTATTTCGATTGCATTATTTCACTTGTTTTCATTATGGRATGCATTATATTGATCTCCAATCGAAAAAAAAATGTTTAAGTTCTTTCCTCCCGATTTTATTTGCACCTTTCGGTATTAGGCTATTGTTATCGTGGGAGTGATAAATATAACCAATCTGACTTTATTCTTCACTTGAGGCTCCCAACAAACAGTCCTTCTCARGACTGCATCCAYCCGGATGGTCATAATAAAAATATTGTTACGTCGATAAACATCCTTTCACCTGGGTTCAGACCGTTCTATACAATATATTTTACTTGACTGTTGGCATTTGTTAAAGTGCAAATGAACCCTTCGACAATACTTTCAGTACTGATCATACATGAAGTAAATAGTTGAATGGTAAAATATTTCTTGATTTGAGTGATGC